CCATTTTGATTAGCACTTAGCTACACACTCCTCCCTAGTGAAGATGACTGGAATTTACCTTGTACATGTCCCCTAAGCATTTGTCCAGACACAGCCCCTGTCAGAGTAATGAACTGGTGCAGAGGAGCAATGTCCAAACCAGCTGGAGGAGCCTGTCACCAGCACGGGGAGGAAGGATGTTTTTTCATAAGAAAAAGCTATAATGGGATTGATTTTAAGTGATGCAAAAGCACACATCCCATTAAGAACACTTCTATTCTCATGGTCTCATTCTCCAAAGGAGTTAAACTCTTTGTCTCTCCTGGTGCCTCTTTGCCTCTGGTGTAAGTGGGTATTATTTTTCCTTATTTTTAGGGAAAGGCATTTTCTGCCCTCCAAGTCCTGCAGCCACCAGTCCTCTATACTTAGCTAGAGTGGAAGAACCCCATGCCATCCAAGCAGCACATGGGCTGTGATCAACAATGTCCCATGCCAGAGCGGAGAGAGGGCCAGCTGGGCAGAAGCACCAGACCCTCATACCTCCCCATCTCATCTGCTTGGAGCTTGACCTTGCCAGGTGTCATTTTGCTTCTCCTCCTGCAGGGAAACACAGCCATGGACTTGGCTTTCCTAAAGTCCACACAGCTTTTACCAAGCTGTGTGGTGTGGTTGACACCCAAGAGGGAAGAGGTCCATCCAGTGGGACCTTGACAGGCTGGAGAGCTGGGCCAGTGCCAACCTCATGAAGTTCAACAAGGCCAAGTGCAGGGTCCTGCACCTGGGTCAGCACAACCCCAGGCACAAATACAGGCTGGGGGGAGAGCAGATGATTCCCTTTGATAATAAACATTTTGGGTTGGGGACCAGTGTGCTGCTGTTTCTACATAGTCCTTGTCACCATTCAGCCTAGGTATGCTTGATACTGCTGTAAAATCAGTTTTTTGTTGTCATTATGGTTATCTTTTTGTCTGTACATGAATCTCTTGCTTATCCCTGAATAACACAAGGATAATCTCATCAATAATCTCATAATCATCTCACGAAAAGCAACACCTCTCAGGTGCCAGGGAGAGAGTTTTCTGCACCACCTACTCCAGGTTAATTTTGGCACAGACTCAGAAGACCCAGAGTCAGATCAGTGAAGTCAGAGGGCTCAGCAGAAAACCTGAGACGGGCACGGGGCTGCCCGGGAACATCAGCCCTTCCTAGGTCTGGGATCAGCAGTTCTCCATTGCCATCTTCAGGCTGGGAGCAGCCTTGCGCCTTCCCGAAATCCTAGAAATCTCCCCAAAATAGCCAACTCATTTCCGGCTTACCCAGTATTAACCGAAATCGGTGGCCAAAGCCTGGAAAATGATGTTAAATACAAAGGAGGGGAAGGAGCCCTGCGAGGCTGGTACTCAGCTGCCCTGGGTAACACGGGTGTTTCCCTCCCTCTGAGCACACAAGGCTTTAGAGAGTAAATTAGCACAAGCAATGATGTTGAACCACTTCTTGCTGTGAGACAGAGTTTATTGGTTTTCTTTAAAGTACATAAATTGAAACTGCCTGAGGGATTTTAGCTCTTTAGCCTGCACTGTCCCCCAAAAAGCCTTGATGGAAACAGCCTAGAGGTTTTTTTTATATTGGAATGATATGTGTATAAAATGGTCTATGCTGAAAAACTCAGAAGTATTTGATAAATATGGTGGTGGGTTTGGAAGAAGAGAAGTTTCCAGGCTTTCAGGGTCTATGATGGATAACATCACACACGCAGCTCGGAGGCCCAAGGAGCTGTAATCACAGAACAGCATAGGGAACAGGTTCTAAAATAAATCAGAAATCACAGAATGATGTAGGTGTCCTGGGCCAGCAAGGCCAGCTTAGATGAGGTTGCTCAGACTTAGTCTTTGTGAACATCTCCCTGTAACCTGCTCACCCCTCTGGTCTCCAGAGTTTGACCATCCTCATGCTGAAAATAATTCTCCTAATAGACCTGGTTGGAAAATTACTTTCTGGGAGCCCGAAAAATAACAAAATCACAGGATGGTTTGAGTCGTAAGGGACTTTTGAAGGTCCAACAACTCTGCAGTGAGCAGGGACAAATGCTGCTACTCAGAACATTCCAGCAATAAAGCTCTAACCATTTTATCTCAGGTCTTGAGAGAGTTTGTACCAGGTCTCAAGACTGTTCATACTTTTTCCCACTGCCTCAGCTCCTGCAATCCCACCACTACTCCCAGCTCTCAGTGCAAACATGGGTAATCCTGGTACTCACCATGGGCACGTGTAGCACAGCTCACTGGGCTGTGTCCATCAGGGGCCCTTTCCCCAAAGGAGTGCCCAGAGCACAGCTCTGCAGCAGTGGTTTACGGTTCAGCCTCCGCAAGAAAATGCTGTAGTTGTCCTTGTACTCAGATACCCAGCTCCTGCAGAGACCATGGAGAAGGGGAGAAGAAGGGGATTTCTATCCTCTTCTTTGTGCACTAGCAGAGGGGACCTGCCTCCCCTTCCCCAGCAGTTGATGGGGGACAGGGGGAACAGCCTGTCTCCATCAGGAGCGGCACAGCTGCTGTGACACACGTGGCCACCATTGGGACCAATCTCCCAGCCAGATCAACCATTCCATGGGCTCAGTCTCCAGCCCACACATAACTCCAGGATCATAGATCAAAATCGAGACTTCAACACAGAGCTGAGATCTCTGTGTGTGTGTTAAAGGGAGGTGGGGGAATGAGGCAGCAGGGAGGAATTGCCTTTCCAGTGAGAAATGAGAGCTCAGGAGCAGTTGATGCCTGTTTGCTCATAGTGTGTGGATGAGTCACGTTGCAAACAGCTCCTGCCCTGTCTGATCTGAGGGAGCCCTTTCCCAGGGGAAGACCAGGTATGGAAATGTTGAGATGTGCCTTCTGACCCCAGACCCACAAGGACCTCAGCATCTTCTTTCCATGGGGACAAGGCTGTCCCGGGAGAAGACTCCCTGCTCCTACAAACCCCACTGCAAAACTTTTCAAGAAAAGGCTGAGCAGACCTTGAGGAAGGATTTGGCCCTGAGGGCATTCATTTGAGCTCATTGCACAACATGGACATAGAATAATATGCTTGAGAAACACTTTCCAATTCCAACCAACTCCAAAACCTTCCTGCCCTCCTCCTATCCTGTCCTCACTCCTCCCAATCACCCTCTGCCCCCAGCCCACTTTTCACTTACTGGTTTAAGAACACATCTTTAGGGAAAATGTGAGAAGCTCCCTGATTTCCTTTACAGTGTTCACCATAGGGTCCTGGCCAGTGCTGGAAATCTGTGCTGTAGGTACTTCCCCAGTCACGGTCAAAGCACTCTAGAGAGTTCAAACAACCAAATGACCTTTTTGGGTCTCCATCTCCTGTATCCCACAGTCTGAGTATTTCCCCTTTTCCTGACCTCTATCAGCTGTTTGTACTTTCAGTGCTTCTCTTGGAGCTACCATGTTCAAAGGCTTAGCCTAGGGAAAATGCTAGAATTGCTTCCCTGGTGTAGATAAGGTCTTTTAGACAAGATTATTCAACCTGTATTTTCTATAGCCCATAAGGTGTGATGGAAGTCAAGCAAATGGCATCTTCTGCTCTTCCATTCTGGACATTGACCTGTCAGCTGGTATAGACTTCCTCCTACTGTCTAGACTTTCCCTTTCATCAAGCCAGAGCAATGCATCTCTGCTTTATTTAACCAGAGACTAAACCAGGGAAGAGGTCCAGGGTCCACCTGACTCCCAAGTGAGGATCATTACATCTGTTGTGCCATCTTCCTTAGAAATCCCCACAGGGGTTGATCTGAATCATAGAATCAAGAGAATGGTGAAGGCTGCAAGGGACCTTCAAGATCATCAGGCTCTAACCTCCCTGCTATGAGCAGGGACACCTCCCACCAGACCAGGCTGCACAAGCATCATCCAATCTGACCTTGAACACCTAAAGAGAGGGGGCATCAACAACCTTCCTGGGCAACCTATTCTAGCACCTTCCTACCCTCATGCTGAAGAATTTCTTCCTGATGTCTAACCTAAATCTCCCCCTTTTCAATTTAAAACCATCACCCTTTATCCTATCACTAAACTCTCTGGTGAAAAGTCTCTCTGAAGGGTTGCCATCTCCTATCCTGCTCTCCAGAAACACCCCATCTGTATGTTAATAGCCTGTGTGTGTCCTTCTGATTAAGCAGATCTTCTGCCTCTGGAGAAATGTGCTGCCACCTCTCCCAATAAAGCAGGGAGGACATGCAGGGAGGAAGATCTCCTGATGGTAGATGTTTCAGATTTTCAGTGTATTTTTACAATGGCATGTTCCTGTGCTGAGTCATCAGTAAAGTATTCTTGTTGTTTTCACTGAGGCTGAGGTTACAGGTATTTCACACCTGCCTGACAACTCAGGCTGTTCATGCAACCCCAGTGGTTGCAGCAGCAGTTCCCGTGTTGTGCCATTAATCCCAGGGAGGCCACATGGAGCAGGGCTGAGCTCCATGTGGAAACTGGGATGAAACTGTATTTACAATGCTCCAGTCTCTCCTGGAAGGTTACTGTTTTTCTCTGCCCCTGCTTCTCCCCACTGATGGCAGATGGGTACAGGGAGGGGCTTTTTAGAAGGGCATGGAGTGAGCGGACAAGGAGGAATGGCTTTAAACTGGAAGAGGGGAGATTTAGGTTAGACATTGGGAAGAAATTCTTCCCTGTGAGCATGGTGAGACACTAGAACAGGTTGCCCAGGGAAGCTGTGGATGCTCCCTCCCTGGAAGTGTTCAAGGCCAGGCAGGATGGGGCTTGGAGCAACCTGGTCTAGTGGGAGGTGTCCCTGCCCATGCAGGGGGGCTGGAACCCAATGATATTTAATGTCCCTTCCAACCCAAACCATTCTAGCATCCTATGACTCTGTGGACCCCCCCTGTGACATTCACCTTCCCTTTACCTTCCTCAACCTCTTTCTGTACTACATTTAAAAAGCCAAAGCCAGGTTGAAGGCCACAAGGCACCCTGATGGGGCAGCTGCCATAACCTCCAGCCACTCACCTGGCATGGAAAGAGACGTGCCCATGTTGGTGCTCTTGTTTTGCTGAGCATCGTGTTGCATCGCCCGGAACATCTCCATGGTGAAATGCTGGTAGGTGGCCCAAGCTGGGACCAGCTTCTGTGGGTGCACCTCTGAGAGATGGGAGAAGAGGAGGGTGTGTGTCAGTTGGGAAGGACCACCAATTACTCACCACAATCCCACCCTGTGTTGGGAGCAAGCAAGCAACAACAGCAAGCTGGAAACTCAGCTGGTGTAAATCAGGGGAGACGCATTTTCTTCAGCAGAGCATCGATTTTGCATCAGCTTGGATCATGAAGGGGAAGGACTTATGGTGATGTGAAGCAAGTGGAAGGAGCTGTGCTGTCTCTTTGTTGATCTGGAGTGCTAAAAGGAGCTGAGATCTTCTGCAGGAGGTTTGTGTATGAGAAAGAAAGACTGTGGGAAACACTGCACTGCTGGGCTACAGGGAGGCAGAGCAGGAAGGGAAAAGCCCACAGTAGTTTTGTCATAAGCACCAGACAGCTTCAGATGTGCTTGTCAAAGAGGTGCTTGAAGCCTTCAGTTGTTAAATGGAGTCTAAATGGATTGTCCAAGTGGACATCTGTCCAAATGGAGACATGACCACCTGAGATGTTTGTCCAGACTATCCTTCTGGTGAGTGGAGAGACAAAAAAACCTACCAGGACTTATTTACCTCATCCTGCCTTGCTGCACCTCATCCTCAATATGGCGTGTAAGCTACAGGAGACCACTGTGTCTTTTCTCCACACTGATCATGAAGAACTCCAGGCACAGGCACAGAATGAATTATAGAATTGTCATAGAATGATAGAACAGTTTGGGTTGGAAGGGACCTTAAAGATCATCCAGTTTCAACCCCCCAGAATGGGCAGGGACACCTACGTCCTATCACTCCATGCCCTTGTAAGATGTCCCTCTCCAGCTTTCTGTAGCTCCTTCAGGTACTGGAAGGTGCCCTAAGGTCTCTTTGGACCTCTTCTTCTCCAGGCTGGGAGAGAGGCTCTCCAGGGAACAGAGCTCTCCTGCTCATGTCCTCCTGTCTGATCCTGGAGCTTTGCTGAAAAATGCTGCCCTCTTCCCTCTCAAGCAGGAGCTCAGAGGAGGATCTCTGCTATTTTGGGAAGGTTGAGTATGGCTGGGCGTTTTTTTTTCTGACTTCCATCAGCACTTTAGTCTATGCAAGCAAGCTGTTCAATGGCTTGGCTGAGGGCTGGCTACCAGCCCCTTTGCTGCATTTGCTGCCAGCACAGGTATCCCTAGCAGAAAGGTACTAAGGGCTGCTGGTTTGAACGGTGTCCTTTTTCCTCCCTGTGCTTGTTTCACAACCTGCAACATGAGGTTAACTGCATCTCCCTCTACCCCAAAGGCGCTGTGAAGACAAAACCCTTGGAGACTTTGCAGAGCTGATGCCCTGCATGTAGCTAGTGTAGCTCTGCAGACGTCTAAGGCTCTGGCTCACTACATCTGCTCTCTGAGCTGTCCTGAGAGCTGGCTACAGGGTGCTGTGCCCATGCTGTGGATCTTCACCCAGCTTAGCCCTGCAGCCACACTCAGTCAGGATGCTGCAATCCATCTGTGCATGTCCTGCCAGCGTGGACCACAGGCAGGGGGACTCAGCCAGCCCAGACAGACCCTTGGGTAGCTGGATAGGGCCTGTCAGATGTTCACAATCAGTTACCTGCTGTTTCAGGAGTCTGAGCAGCAGCTGGAAGATGTTGGCAATAAGACATCAGTTTCTCTGGCATAGCAAAGCCCTGCAGCCTCTCCAGTTCCTCTGCCCGGGCTGCTGCCAGCTCGGTGGCAGGGTGGTACTTTGGCAGGTAGCTTTCTGCAACGGGAAGGACTGAAGTAAAGTGCTTTCTCTGCTGCAAGGCTTTGGGGCTGGAGGTGCTGCCTTCTTGCTGCCTACCTCCTGCATTGTCAGCACGACTGCTGGCTGGGATGCTTGGTGCTGGGATGACTTCTCTCCCCTCCCCAACAAGGCCGTCGCTGGAGGTCACCACCTGCTGTTCCCGGGGCACAGCAAACTCCTTGGCTTTCAGCTGGGAGTCTGCAACCTGCAGCTTCTGCAGAAAGAAGTCCCATGGGAATGGAGAGGCAGTGAGTGGGAAGGACACTTGCTAAAGCATCATCAAGCAATGCTACCTGCCCATGGCAAACCCTGGGCTTTGGTGGGGCCAGCACCCCTGGGGATACAACAGACAGAGCAGCTCTACAGTTGCCATTAAAAACACACAGACCATCACAGCTTCTTCTTTCTCTCCATCTTATGGCTTGGGACTCTTGCTGGGCTGCAGATGGACAGTAGGAGGGAGGGAGGGAGGGAGCCTGGGCAGAAGCAGCAGTTTTAATGGTGGGAGAGGGAATGGCTCCAGGGTTCATGGTGGGGAAAGGCTAAGGGGGCTGGCATGGCTGCTTTGGGGGGGTCTGCTGGCTCCAGCCTCTTCAGCTGGACACTGCAGCTCCATCATGAGCCAGTTGCTCTTCCACAGGGACTCAGAAAAGAACTGTCCTGCTGTAAGCTCTGCCAGGTTGCTGGGGCCAGCAAGGACCATCCTCATGGGGTTTGTCCATCACTGTTCTGGATCTCCGTGGGTTTCTGTTTGTCCCTCAACCTCCACAGTCCTGAGGCCTCTCCTCAGGGTGGTTTCTCCTTTGCCCTATGCTGACAGTAAGACAGCTGGAGGCTGGAAAGCCACAGGAACTGCCTGTTTCTGAAGGCTTCCCCCACTGTGGATGGCCACAGCTTCTCATGAGGCATCTCCAGAGGGACAGGAGACTCCAGGAGCCAGTGCTTTCTGCCTTCACCCAAGGAGCTTTCCATCTTCCTCCGTGAAATTTCACAGATCAAAACGTTGCAGTGGTTTTATCCTCATAAAAAAAACCAAACAACAACAACAAAAAAAACCACCAACAAACCCAAATCCTAAGAGGGAAACCTGGGCCTCCTGAGAACCTCCCCATCCCACTGCCCAGCAGGACAGCTTTCCTCTGCAGGCCTTGGGGGTTAATAAAGGGTGAGAGGGAGATGCAGCCCGAGGAAAGCAGGTATATCTCAGGAGCTCCCTGACTTCTTATCTCTACATCAGCAGCTTCCCAAAAACCAATTAAAATAATAAAGGAAAAGCAGAAAAGAAAAAGAAACGGAGATGCACAGGTTGTGAACAGCTCCAGCAGGCAGGGGTTCAGCCCTGTCCTCCCAGCCAAGGATCTCAGCTCCTGGAAGCGGAGCAGCCACCTAAGGCTGGGGCTGCCCGGGAAGATCTCGCCAGCCCCAGGGAACAGCGGGAGCCCCGAGCGGGAATGAAGGGTCCTGGCAGCGGGAGCGGCCCCGGAGCGGGAGGGGGAGAGGAGAGGAGAGGAAAGAGGAGAGGAAAGGAAAGAGGAGAGGAAAGGAAAGAGGAGAGGAAAGGAAAGAGGAGAGGAAAGGAAAGAGGAGAGGAAAGGAAAGAGGAGAGGAAAGGAAAGAGGAGAGGAAAGGAAAGAGGAGAGGAAAGGAAAGAGGAGAGGAAAGGAAAGAGGAGAGGAAAGGAAAGAGGAGAGGAAAGGAAAGAGGAGAGGAGAGAAAAGAGGAGGAGAGGAGAGGAAAGAGGAGGAGAGGAGAGGAAAGAGGAGGAGAAGAGAGGAAAGAGGAGGGGACGAGAGGCAGGGGGTTCCCCAGGCTGTTGCCCAGGCAAGGATGGCAGCGATGGCCGCAGACAGCCCCTCTGCCCCAGCGGGCACCTTCACACAATGATTTCTCTGTTGGGGTGTGTGTGCGTGTCCCTTTTCCACCCCAGCCTGAATTTTAGAATTTTTTTCCCCGTTTCTCGTGAGCGCAGGATCCCAAAGCCCTGGAGCAGCCGCCCCTGCCCCCTGCCATGTCCCCGCAGCTGTCCCCACCGCCCTGCCACAAGCAATTAAGGCAGGGCAGGCGGAGCGAGGCAAATCAGATTAAATAGCTCGGGGGGTCGCTCACACTGCAAGGAGATTAGAAAAAAACAAAACCAACAAAACACACCAACAACAACGCAACAAAAACCACCACCAAGCTTCTCCAGGCCGGGTCGGGGCAGGGAGCCTCGCCCATCCCCAGCGCGATCCCCCTCCCCAAGGCGATCCCGGGATGGGTCTGATCCCGCCGTGCTCCAGCAGCCCCAGGGGGACCAAGAGCATCCCAAGGCTGAGGCACCGGTTCCGCCCGCCGCCCTTAGTGCCTTAATGAGCGTCATTAGCACCGCCCGGCTTCACCGGAGGGCACTTGGGGGGGGATTTCCCCCCCGGGACACGAGCCAAGGGCACTTGGGAGGGATGTGACCTGCGGGTGGGTAGCGGTGCTGGGGACCAGAGCAGACCCCGGGCACCCACCTGCTCCCTGCGTGTCCTGGGAGCCGTGAAACGGGAGCTGATGCCTCGGGAGAAAGAATGAGGCAGGGAAAAGCCGGCGCTTACCTGTATGTCCTCCTCGCTGGGTGCCTTGTACTGCTCGCACCACTGGTAGTCCCTCTTGTGCGAGCTCCTGTACATGCCCAGTGACACCGGGGGCTGGAATGACAGGAGGCAAACACAGAGTTCCTCAGGACTCGGGGGAAGCCTTCAAAAGCGGTGATACGAACCCAAAAGGCTCCCTCATAGCTCAGGAGGATGTAAGCTGCTCTTCTGGGCACCACCTCTGCCCCTAGGCCACAAGGGGCAACCCTTTGCTCAGTCAGACTCTGAGCAGGGTGGCCAGGAAGGTCCTGTGCCCTTTTGGCAATGGTCTCTGGGGCAATTCTTGTCCCAGGAGGTCCCTTGCAACAAACACCTTCCCCCTGCCTTTCTCAAGCCTCCTCTGAGTGCTCAGATACCCCCAGGCAGAGCACTAATATAAAGCTGCCAAAATACTTTGATCAGCTGTTGAGGTCCAGTGTCACTCAGGTTAAATCAGCCTGTGCTTCTGTTTTCTGTTTCAGTAATATTTCCCATGTGCCTATCACCTGTTTAAAGTTAAGTGCTGGCTAATGACAATACTCATTCTGCAAAGTGATTGGAGAAGTTCTGAGGAAAATTCTGCCAAGGGATATGAAGGCAGCAACACCTGCCCTAACACTAAAAATCACTGCAGTGCAAGCTTCTGGAGACAGGGAGAGGGTTTTAGGGGGGAAAAAAAAAAAGCATTATGTGTGTGTCTTTTCCCTCAGCATCCACCATGGGCACTGCTGGAGGCAGGAGATGGGATGAGATGAGCCTTCAGGCTGACCCAGGGCTGTGGCATGGGTCTGCACTCCCATGTCCATGTGATGAAACAGAACCAATAACTGCACCAGCACACAGCACCTCAGGGAGGGCTCCTCCTGCCTTGCCAACAGTGTCATTCATTATGGGAAAGAATATATTTTATATCCTCATCCCCTTTTCATCCCTTTTTCATGACGCTTCACTCATTTCACCCCCCGGACTTCCCAGACCAGTGGTTGCTTTTGGCCAGGACCCAGAACCACATTGTCACCAGTTCCTATTATCTTCCTTGCCTGGCAGACCCTGCAAACCCTGAACTCAAACACTGGTGAGAATGAAGACCTGTGTGTACTTCACCTTTGAGATCACTTTTTCCTTCGCTGCATCCGCCATGGTGAACCAGGAACCTGGACCAGACAAGTAGTTCAGTTAACAACCAGCAAACCAGCCACTGCCCCAAAGGATAACAGATCTAGAGACATGGAGTTGGGTACTGGCAGGAGCAAGGGGGTTCATCCAACTTCAGCATTGCAAAATGTACCTGTCCAGCCCAGCAACTAGCATGTACAGAGCTGGACACCTCAAGGGAAACAGCCTGGTGGGACCCAGCAGGGACCTCAGCACCCACAGGTCCAGACCCAGCCAGGGTGTGAACACAGGTGTCCCCTCCTGTGATAGGGTGCACATGTGATGGATTCCACCAGCATCTCCATGGCCACAGTGTTTCCAGGGGCAAGGGGAAACTCTGCCCTTTTGTGAGACACCTGCACTCCAGAACCTTGAAGGTGGGGGGGTGAGATGGGACTGAAGGTGTGTGTTGAGGGCTTCTTGGAGGACAAGCAACCACACAGTCAAAGCTGGGGAGCAGCTAGCTACCCATTCCTTCAATTGCAGCCAGCCAGGAGAGGGACAGAGCCTGCCCTTCGTGAGCTCTTGAAGCACCCCCAGCTTCTGCTAAAGACAGGAGCAAAAGAACTGGGGAGGAAAGGACCTACTTTGTGGGTGTATTGAGCAGGAGAGAACAGCATCCTTACTGTACTGCATGGAAGGGTGGGAACCATCACAGAAATAAGGCAGGCAGGGATCTCCCCTTGGTCTTGGAGGGCAGCCAAGCACACCTGAACTGTCTCATCCAAAAGCTGCAGTTCTCTTCCTCTGCTGACCCCTGACAGCAGGGGATGCTCACATTTAGGCTTCTGTCTCATGAACAGACAGGAACACCAGACCAGATCCACAAAGCAGTATCTACTCTTTTAAATATGCCAAGCATTAACCAGGTTTGGATGCATCTCATCCAAGACTAATCTCACCTCATTTTGGATGTCCACAAAGAGGACATTTCCCTCTGAGCTGATCCTTCCTGGCTTCCTCATTCAGCCCAATCCATGTGACCAGCTGGGGGTGAAACAAACTGCTCCCTCAGAACTCCTGGGTTTGATGAGCTGAACCTCATCCAAGAGTGCAAGTTCTGTAGCTACACATGAGCCTGCCTGTCGGTTCAGGAACGAGATTCCCTGGCACTACAGTAACACAAGCAGTAGTAAATGCTGGTGATGAAAGAGGAGTCAGAAAGATGACATCTTGGCTCCAGGATCCTGCACAGAGAGCTGGTCACAGACCTGTGTTCACAGGCACCCTAGGAATGTGCTGAGCTTCCAGAGTTATTTCCCTTTTCACACTGTTAGGGACCAGCGTGTGACTGGAGCCCCAGGATGGCAACTCTCTGGCAAGGGTCTTGTGCTGCTACCAGCTCCACACTGGAGGCAGGCAGGAGGAGAAGCCCTTCATCCCCAAGGCATTTTATGCAAATGAATAGTAGGATAAATGATGCAATAAGGAAAGAAATGATTTCCAGAAATGTGAAACTCTCATGTTCTCCTGTGCTTATATTAAAGGGATTACACTCCGTTTCCTTCTTAATACAGCTAATGCTCTATGGGAAGCCCTCAGGCCAGGGATTAAAGCACTTATTCAATTAATTAGGAACAAACTTCTGCCTTAAAGTCAAACACACCAGTGTCAGTAAGCCCTTGAAAGTGTCTTCCTTCCAGGGCAGGGAAAATAGATCCTATTTCTGATGTAAATGAAACCAAGTTTGCACTCTACAATTATCAGGGAAAATATAAATAAAGAAGATTAATTTTTAAAATATCATAATTCTGTAAAGCAATGCAGAAAGGGAGGGACAGTCCCATCACCCTGAACTTATCTGAACTCCCTTCAGTTACAGAGAGGGCAGAATCAGGTCCTACAAGACTAAGATAAATGAGAAACAATTTTAGGATGTAACATTGGTAACTAGTTCCAAGCTTCAGGCACAGCAGTTAGGATATATTTGATGTCAGGAGTGAAATCCTGGCCCTTCTAAACTCAAAAAGCAAAATGCTTATTCAGTAGGATCTGAATTTCACCTAAGGTGCCTGATTCATTACTAGATAGGAGACAACTTCCAAAACCTGGCTCTACATCCTAATCTTCCTTGATCCTTCCATCTTCTCGCAGGCACAGCTCACATGAAATTAAAAGGCATTTTGCCAGGACAGTTCATGCAGGAGCAGCCCACTATTGCTGTTCATCTTCCCATTTCTTTTTCCCAAATATCATACGACAGGGCTGATAATTGCCAAATAATCCCAGTTAGAAGCGGGTAGGAACCGAACACCCAGCTCTCATCTTCCTCTACCTCTAGAGAGAATTTATCTGCTTCCTCATTGCTAATTGAAGAAAATTGGAGAAAAAGTAAACCAGGCATAAGCCTTTTTATTACAGTGTTTTTCTATGTATGGACTTTTTTTAAACTTCCTTCACAGGCATCTCTGGGCTGCAGTGTCATTATCTCTCCTGTGATATCGATTCCCTGCCATGGTCCCCAATTTCTCTTGACCCCTCAGCCCAGGGGAACTCAGTTCCTGCATGTCAGATCCCTCTCCTGACATCCCCACGGACAGTGCTCAGCAAGCACTGCACAGGACAAGCCATTTTCTGTGGTTTTTTTTTCCCCAAAGCTTCCTTGCCTTAGGAGCAGCTCAGTGAAGAGGGCTCAGTGCACCCTGGATGGCTGCTGCCCGTGGAGCTCTGTCTGCACATCTCTAAGACAGAAGGTAATGCTGAAGACCAACACTGGGCTATAAACACCTGCAGGAGAAAATTGCTCTTAAATAATTGTTTTCTTTTCACAATACTCCAGGGAGGTGATGGCTGAAATTCCCAGGGTCAGAAGACTAAAGCATATACCTGAATGAAGGTGCCTCTGTTTCTCAGGGCAATGGTTGCTTCAAACACCCAGAGAGGCTTTCAGAGGGTGCTGGTGCTTTTGACCTCTTCATGCTGCATGCATGGATAACAAGGGAATTACAACAAGCCAGCCAGGACCAGATTGTCAAAGGTAGACAATTACATGTTTTAGCAGCACCATGGGAGAATTCTCCAATGGGCTCAAATGAGTTCAGGGCCTTTAAAATCAGATGGGAAGAGTTTAAATCAAAGACCTTAACTGTTAAGTAAACCGGTGAGATTTGTGTACCTGATCTGTGCAGCTCCTTCCTGACATCCTGCTGGACAATTCCTTGTGCTTAGCAGTACTTATGTATCTCAGGAAAGTCTATCTCATAGCTTCAGTAAGACTGAAGTAGCATATAGGATGTGACACAGAGGCTAATTTCACCTCAGTTTGGCCCTAACCTCCTGTATTTCTGTATTTTTGCTCTGGTGAAATGGCAACTGTGCTACCTAAGCCTGTATGGCTCTTGTGCAGGGCTCTGCACTGGTACCATCAGGGTTCAGGAGAACCACCTCAGCTATTTACAGTTCAATGCAAGAAAACGTGGCCAAGGAGGACACAGCTCCCTGTCAGCCCAGCTCTTGACAAGTGCTCTCTGGGCTAGGAAGAAGATTCATTGCCCCTGTGAGGATGTTGAAAGAGGGAAGCGATGGGTAAGCAGGACCCCCATCGTGTGAAAGAGGCAGGGAGTAATCTGTGCATCTGCATTCAGGCTATCACCACGAGGAGACAAAGCCCAAAGGGAGACTCTTCTTCAGGGGATGAGTGTTGACAGCCCATTCTGTCAGCATGAGGTCAGTCATCCATTTGGGTCTAAAAACATGAACTTTCATGGCAGTGCAACAGACCAGCCTGGGAAGGTTTCCCATGGTGTTATTTATTTCATGCTTCTCTCCAGTTTTCTTGATGAATTGGTGGCAGCATTTATGGCATCTTGGGAGCAGAAATAAGCAGTGTCCTTCAGCCTAAATCTGAGGTACCTGTAGCTGTCTCTAAGTCATCTAAATAACTTACAGGATTGAGCCCTCAAAGTCAAACTCTCTGTTGCACAGACACTCCTTGCCACAGAGGACAAGTGCAGCTGCTGAACTCATTGGTGGTGTCCCAAATCTTTGGGCAGTTCTGCTGTAGCCTGCTTAAAATCACCAGTTATTTTCTCACAATTCCCCCCAAAAAAGCATCCATCAGCAGAGGATGGTTGAAATCTCATCACTGTCTCTTCCATGTGTCCTGTGATACAAATCAATGCATATTTATGCACCTGGGTAAGGCAAATATATATATGTATTGTTGGAGAACCTAAATCTGCTCACTAATGGTGCTGTTTAAATAGCCCTTTAACCACATCACTTTTGTCCTCGTTAAGTTAAGTTGCTGGAGGTGAAAAAGCCCTTCCAAAATGGTTTTCACTCACTCACTCAGTCCAAAGTAAACATGCCTCTGGGACCATTATGTGTATCAGATATCCAAGGCTTTGTTAAGAGCTTGCCTGGTAGGTAAACTCTGCTTCTCTTTCCCCTTGCAAGGAGAAGGTTAAAATTAGAGATAGGCTTAGATGAAGAGGGCAGAACATCACCTTGAGCTACGGATAAATAGGAATAACAGAAGAAATTCAGAGCAGCACACACAAGTGACCCAGGTCTTAGGAGGCTCTTGATCTAACATAACTCTGGTTACAATATCACATTGGTGTGTTTATGCACGTCACTTGCAATCACATTCATCACAGATCTCATGGTGGCCAAGAACTTGATGTTTTCACCAGTAGTTCATGAAGCCCCCACATAGAGCTGGGAGCCCCAGATAACATGCATGAGCCTTTGCTAGCAATATCTATAGGGTAAATGTATGTGTATAAGCACATAATGGAAAATCCTCAAGCCATATGCCCACATGTCTGGAGGAGCTCAGGACTTTCCTTGATTCTCACCTCACAATACAATCACATCTACTTCTTAAAGGCAAGTTTGGCAGGATAACAACCACTCCAAACCAGCTCGTCTAGACCTGATCCACAACTGACTACAGTGAAGAGGAGCCTCGACTGCACCAAGGTCTGGACTAGATATGGAGCTTGGAGATTTTCCCTCTGCAGCCATTAGCTGTTCAGCTG